ACCTGTTGATTGAAAAGCTCTTTTCTTTCCTTCATTTTTTATTTGTGCATTTGGCCTGTAAACTGACTGAAGCATTATCTCTGAGGACCTGACACATCTTAAAGTTTTTTATGTGTTCTCAGTCAGTAACCTTCTCAAGAGCATGAAAGAGCTTATTTAATGAGAGAAATGAAACAGATGGGAAGCACACCAACTTCTAATGTCAGAGGTTTAAATGGTAAGAACAAAACTCAACCTTATTAATTAATGAAATTTCTGAAGATAGATTTAAATATTTACAAAGCCATATTAAATGGTAACTTGAAAGAAAAGAGATCCTACACAATAAGTTTGTATAACCTGTACACTTAAGGAGGTGCTTCTAAGGCTGTGTTCTCACTATAAACAGCTGGGTGTAAATTGGCTGTTCTCTCATCTGATTAAAAATAAATAAATAAAACTGGCATTTAACTGATGGTTGCTTTGGGGGAATGGAATTCCCTTGATCCCAATTTGCAAAACTTGGAGGTTGAGGGTTTTTTGTTTGGTTGTTTGGTTTTGTTTTTTTGTTTATTTGGTTGTGTTTTTTTTTTTATTTGCTGTCAGAAGTGAAATTTAATGAGGTATACAAAGTGAAACATACTGTAAATTAATGTTAGTCTCTCTGAGTAGTTTCTAAAGATCACATTTGGCTAGGCTCATTCATTCCCCACGTGTCCAATTTGTAATATGTGCTTTCATCTTCACCTTACCTTCCTTACTGTACAGCTTTCTAAAGCTGTAGTTTGACCCCATAAAAGATGCCATGTGGCATCTTTACTTCCAGAAATGGAAGTATCAAAATCATGGGATAAAAGACTTGGGAGAAATTAAGTGAAATAAAGACTGTTTCAATCCTATCTCCTTGCTACTACAGACTAATTCTTCCCATTAAATGTTTCTGTAATTTGTCCCATTTATTTTTTATCAGATGCTTCATTTACTTGCTGTTCTTCCTCTTTGCATCAGGTGCACAGCAAAGAGTTGTTATAACATTGGAACAAATTGATTTACTTTCCACTTGTTTTTCCCCAACACTACTGAAAGACCAGGTGGTTTTAAAATGCAGCAGTATTGGTGGTGCCAGAGATCCTTGGTGCCACCCTGAAGCAGTTTGTTTGTAATACAGATGTTTTCACCTGCATATTGTTTGAGACCTGGATGGCCTTTTGACTACTTTTCTCCTAACCCTACAAGTCAATAGGCAGCTCTTCGTAAAAGAGGAGAGGGAGGAAAAAAAAAAAAAGAGGGAGAAAGAAAGCTGTTGATAATCAACAGTTCACTGTTCAACTCTTGTCTTTTTCAAAGCCATCACAAACATGAATTTTCAATGTTTTTTTGACAATGTTAGTAGAGGCATTTTTTCCTGTTTATAGAAAAGTTTACAGAAAGTTTAAAGCTTTCTACTAAAATATTTATTTTGTCTAGGAATGTAGCAGGCACTGTTGTATGGGAAAGACTGAAGGAAATAAAAATTTGAAGTCATAAATGAGAAAGTGATTGGCCAGTTTAAAAAGAGTCTATAGTTTGGAGATACATGGAATCATCTGTATTACCAAATACAGAGAAGAAGAAGAAAGAAAAAAAAAAAGAAACAGAATGAACTTTTTAGAAGGTTATGAAATATCGCGTTGGTGGTATAGTGGTGAGCATAGCTGCCTTCCAAGCAGTTGACCCGGGTTCGATTCCCGGCCAACGCATGTCAGTTTTTATGGCTGGGGGATTGGATTTAGATGATCTCTAAGGTCCTTCCAACTCCAGCCATTCTATGATTGTATGAAATAACTGCTGAACCTTGTGTGCAAGAAGTGCTTGTTTAAAAAAAAAAAAAAAAAAAAAAAGGTTGCCATGTCACATCTAAACCCCCAAATACTGGCATCATTTGAATTTATCTTTGATGGTAAATGCTGCTTAGCTTCTACATGTGGACCCAACTCTCACTCAGTTTAAGGAGTGTTCTGGACCATCCTTACTGATTGATACAAGGAAATGCTAAAGCTTTTCTTTCTGCTTTGCTCTGCTACTTGCAAAGCTATCTCATGTTACTGGAGGGAAAGGTGGGACATAGTATAATGGAGTTCTATGTTATGGAAAAACACATGCAAAGCATTATGAGCAATTTCACTGTTCAGTCTTGGGTTAGCACTGAAATCAGAAATAACTTTATTGTGAGCTGACCCTCTTTTCCAGGCATATATGTTTGCTCAATTCCACTTTGAAACCAGCCTAATTCACTGGGGCTCAGAGCTTGGTGCTCTCTTACAATTCTATCAGCTGCTTTTATAAAAGATACTGCTCCTTCTTTACAAACTTGGATTCACTTGTAGCCATAATGGCTTAAAGATACATTACATGGTGTAAATTAAAAAGTCATCTCAGCCCTTCCTCCTGAGCTTTAATAAATATGATTAGTACTGATGTGATTCCTGCTACTGCAGGTCACTGTTTTAAGTCTAGGATTTAAAATAAGGATATAAGACATGTCCCATGCTACTAACTGTATTATCCTGACATTCATTAAATGTCATTGTCGCAAAAACTGTCAGGATCCTATGCATCTGCCACATCTGTGTGAAAGAGCCTTCCCTGCATAACTACAGTTAATGCACAACCTATTTTGCCATTGTTCACAACACTTCAGAAAAAATATGCAGTTTTTCTAAATTTTCCCCAATATTCAAAGGATCACCATATTCATTCTGTGCTTCAGTTGAGCTTTGTGCTACTGTGCCTGTTTTCTGAAACAGAGAAATTGTAGCTTTGTCTGCTTTAGTAATCATGCTTCAAATTCATAATTGCAAACAGTTTTTGTTAATCTTAGCTCGATGAACTTCGAGTAAATCTTGTAGAACAAGTATGACATGCTTATTTATAGAATCATCTACGTTGAAAAAGAACTTAATCATCAAGTCCAACTATCCACCTTACTTACTGAGTCCCATCATTAAAATGTGTCCCTTAGTGCCATGTCCCACATACCTCTTAAATACCTCCGGGGTGGGGTTTCCACTACTTCCATGGGTAGTCTGATCCAATGCTTGACTACCTTCTCTGTAAAGACATTCTTCCTAAAGTCTAGTCTAAACTTCCTCTGACTCAACTTGAGACCATTAAAAGATTTCAAAATATGATTTAATTCAAAAATACCTGGGCAGATGCAGGCCTCCAAGACCAGACATTTTAATAAGCAGGATGAGTCAGCAATGGATATCTTATTTTTAATTAACTAGGCAAAATAGCATAGTAAAATGAAAACTGTATTTAAAAGACCGTCCATGAAGCAGAAGGTTAAAATGATAGACTTAGAAGCCAGGCAGACGTGTGAGTAGGCTTGGCAGTATTTTAGCACTTTGTACCAGCAGACTAGAGAGGCAAGTGAAGGATAGAAAAATGACACAATAATTAAGTAGTTTTTCACAGTCTATTTTCTATTTAGAGTTCAGTTCCTCACAATTATCATTATTCATAAACACCTGAGCTTTGGGAAGGTGTGTGGGGAGTGAAGGAGGTGTAGAGGGGAATAAGGCAGAATAAAGAATTACAATAAGTTTTTGTGTTTAACAAGCCATCTTATTTTCCAGAACATTTAGAATTTTAATGAGCAAGCTTTGCTTGTGCGTTTGTGAGATATAGTCCCATTATCCCAGTAAATGAAACATCTTGTTTTTTCTTATCGTTAATATTTTGACTTAAAGTGTTCTGTAACACATTTTTATGCTCATGTTGAAGGCAGTTTTTATTGCATTCCTGTTCTGAAATGATAGATGAAAGATGCTATATACATTTTTTATTTTTTTTTTTCCCAGAAAAGCTTAGGTGTCCTTTGTTCCTCCACCATTTAGACTGAGAATTGTTGCTCTGTTGAGATGGAGGTCTGCTACAAAGTAGAGGCCCATGTAAGCAGAGAGCTGTCTGATGCATGTACAAGCATTTTCACTGCAGAGAGCAGCTGCAATGAATTGTGGAATTCCAATTACATTTTTCCCCACTGGTGGCTGTGAAAACCAATCACTAGGTGAAACCAGTCATTAGGCAGAAATGTGTCACATAATGAATACATAATTAAATAAATTAAATAATTAAAAAAAAAAAAAAGTAGTGGCCACTCGCTAGAATGAAGTAATGATGATTTGAAAGAGGTAATATGAGCTTGACCTGTCCAATATAAACACTTCTATAGAAAACAGTGTGTTCTTCTGGATCCTCTCCCAATGAAATGTTAAAACCATTACCAGGCAGGTGGTATATGTGCTAGGATGCACCTGCCAACTAGTCATATTATCTCATCTATTTGCTGAGGATTCAGAATGTCTGTTCAAATGTTCTACATTTCACTGTTAAACTGATGAGTGAAACCAGAAGTCTAAACCTACCTTTGTCACTTGACAGCAGTGGTATTAAGAAAAGGAATAGTACTCAATGAGGGATGCTGGAGTAGTAGGGTTTAAATTTTATTTAATGTAAGAACAGCAGTAAGAAAGACTAATAGCTAGTATGGGAGTTGACCTATTAAGGTATTTGACAAAATAAAAATAAAAAGCTTTTCTTATAGAGGACTTGAAATTTCATTGAACTTATTGTCAGAACAAGTTAATAGTAGGGACCATGGATGTCCCTTTTTAATGTGTTATTAACACTTGCTTTTTTCTAGGCTTACCTTTGTCTTAATGATAAGTTCAGTCAGCCTTCTCCTTGTGTTCACAATTTCATCTACCTATAAGGGTAGTTTATTGGTTATTCTGTCTTTCAGTTCTCTTATTGGGGTATATGTTTTATATGCTATTTGGATTAAAAATAATAATAAATAAAAAATCGTGGTAACCTGGGGAAATATATGTGTGTGTGTGTATGTATATATACATCTTTATACATTATATATACACATATATTTATATATGTATGTATTAAATATAATAAATAATATATATATATTCATATGTGTGTATTTATATATACATTATGTGTATATATATATATACACATCATATATATACACATTTTTAAATGTACAGAGTAATATTCATCATAGAAACTTGTTTTGTTGGTGGTGTTTTGTTTGGTCTTTTTGTTTGTTTGGTATTTGTTTGTTGTTTGTTTGTTTTTAAGTTACTTTGCTTTCTTTTCAGAGAGGGAGAGAGAGAGTAATTTTTCTTACTCAAGGACCATTGATCACAAAGTAAAGGATAGGAATTTCCCTGATCTCCGGACTTTGGTACTGTTTTCTGATCAAAAATTGATACCTTCTTCATCAAGATGTCTTTGGCAGGATTAGTGTATCAACAAGACCTAATGAATTTTTTCAGTTTAATTCTATATAAATGGATCATGTCATGGATCGGTTTGTTATAACATCTGCTACCTAATATGTAAGAATTTTCTCTTGAGAGTTGAAAAATTCAGGGCAATTTGTTCCAAGCACTTTCTTTATAATGAGGAGTTAAATTAATGTATCTGGTTTTGAGTGGCAGCTAATAAGCAGGTATGGAAATACCTGTGGGAATCTTCCACTTCCTTTGCAAATGACTAGAAGTGTTGCTAGAAAACTTAAAAAGCAGAACAACTGAACAACTAAACAGAAAGATGTAGTTCTGTGCTCCTGTCTGGGCTAGCTGGAAGATTAGTATTTTGTTCACCAACATTACAGATCTCGTCTCTCTACCTGTGCCAAGAGTGGCAGCATCTTAAAGAAGTTACCATAACATTATGTGACTACACAAGAAAAACATGGAATATCAGTCCTTAAAGGTCTGTATATTAGTCATCTGCTTGCCATTTCCAGAGTGTCTTCAGACAAAAGTATTCATATAGCATTGTTTCAGTTGTTAGCCAGGCCAAGAGTCTACAGGGAGGCCAGGCCTTCTCAAAAACTGATGAGAGATGCTGGAGTAGCAGTATTTTGTTACTGTGAGATGTGGGGCTTCCCTTTCTCGAGAAATATTAGGAAAAAAAAATATTAGGGGTAGAGCTGAATATTTTATTTCTTTTCATCTGAGTTTAGTTTTTGCAAAGCCAAAATTGGGCTTTGAATATTGTTCCAATGTAATTAATTCATTACAGGAACTTGTATTCAAATAAAATAGATAAGAGTATGGCAAACTAGGAAGAAAGTGTTGAATTTTGTTGTTTTTTGGTTTTCCAAATAAACTATGCCACCAGAAAGTACTTTCTGCCTTCTGGATCATAGTTATTTAGCAAATTAATCCTTTAAAACATTGTTTTGGTCTTGTCAGTCATAAGTTTTCCTCTGGATTTAGTTGACTGAAAGTAGTTTAAGCACAGTTAACATGTGTAAAGCTGCACAAAGATGCCTCTTCCAAGCTGGAGAACTGTGAATTTACCCTGTCTGCATAACAAGAAAAGGTATTTGTATGGGGGGAAAATAAAAAATAAAAAAAATAAATAAAAATAAAGAAAAAAAGTGAAACAGTGGAGCAGGGTGGGGAATATTTTGTATTGATGAATTTGAATCCTTACCTTTAAACTGATTAATTTTGGAGAAAATTACACTGGAATATGACGGCTTCAGCATTATCTTATAAGGAACATGAAGTACGTATCACAACAGCAGTTGGGGGGAAAAAAAAAATGGCAAAATATAGCCAGCATAGTAGAGGAAAGCAATGAGTATCAATCCTGTTTATTGCAGTACATTAAATAATAAACTTCAGGTTTACACAGTCCAAAGGGTTATGCTCCAGACGATATTAGCTCAGTATGGTGAGACAAGAGTTGAAAACAATTTTTTATGCTATAATTTGGGGGAGAGAAAGAAAGAAGTCTAAACTTGAGGGCAGTCATTAGAATCCATTTTCAAATGGAATAATTATGTCTTTTCATTTATTTTCCATTTTGTTTTCTCTTAGTTGTGACTTTAAATAAATACATGAAAGCTGAGTAAGTGAAAGTTGCAGCTTTTGAAGTTCTTTGGCTCAATGTTTAATTTCTAAACGGTGTTATTATTTAGTCCTAAACTGTAAAGGCCACTGTATTCTACAGTGTTGAAATTGTGAAATACGCTGTTGCAAGAAGCACAGGAAAGCAGTTGTAATGTTTATTGCTGAAATGGACAAAACCAGCAACCTCTCTAAAATGCAAGTGTGTTTAAATGTGCGGTTTGTAAGTGAATAACCCTTTCCAAGCTTTGCTTTCTATAGGTTTTCTATACACACATACTGTGACTCTCTTCTCATTGGGAATGACCAAGCTCCAGTTATTTATTTGTAGCTGGTTGGAAGCTGTGAAACTTTCTTCTGTTTTAATACAGATTCTTACACATTAAAGTTTGAGGACCGTCACCAATCCAATAATCCTTAATAGAGAAATAATGAAGATAAATGTATATTTCAACAGAACAAACCCACACTGAACTTTTCTCTTTTGTAATAAGCAGTCCCAATAGACATTGGGAAGTACAAATCTATTTGTCAGTCTGGCATGACAAAGCTTTGGTTCTCCTGCCAGGGTCCTGTCCTTGGTGCAACTCCCTCTCTTCTAGCTAGCAGTGGCATGAGTACTGGTGTATGTTGGCTGCAAATTACTTCATTTTTCACAGCCATCACCTCCAGGCTTTCTGTAAGCAGTGTTAAATGCCTTGTTAGTATATAATATTGCAGACCTTGGCTGATGTGTTTCCATGAACTATAGCGGAGGAAGAAGAAAATCACTACTCAAAAGGTGATTAGGGACTTGCATTAAAGATTCTTATGCAACTGGTAAGAGAGAGAGTGCTGTGAGTTGTCACAGATTTTACAGGTGTGTTGTCATCATTGCAGCAGTGGTGGGAGAATTACAGATACCAGAGTACAGAAAGACAAAGTGGACAGCCTGATGTTGCTGGTCATTGCCTTCCTCTACTGAGATGGATGTTCCAAGTGACAAAGTGGCTGTCCCAGATTCAGGAGGGCTGACTTCCTCATATAACAGATTTTGCTTGATCTTTGGACAGATAATTTGTGGTGCAGTTTGATGGAGCAGTTAAAGTAACAAATGCTGCTGAACAGGCAAATCTTGTCCCCTGCCTTAGGCCAAACCCCAGACTCTTTTTCTGCATTAGCACTAATGTTCACCTGGTCCTGAGGAGAGCTGAAACAGCAGAAAATATTGCCTAACAGCAATAACAAAAATATGATAAGCCTAAAACAATATTTCAGCTGTCATTAGGGAGCAGAAGCGAATTTTCTTTCTTAATTTATAGCAGTGACAAAAATCGTATATAGCTATCTGTGGATTCATTGCATCTGGCACATTCCCCAGACATACTACGTCTTTCTAAAGTTTCTTCTAATTCTCACTGGCCACAATAATCTACCGTAATCCAGGGGATATAGTCACCTTGCTGCTTACCTCTTCCAGCTCATTAATACATCGGTGGAATGTCCTCGGTCCAGTCCTCATCGTGGTGCCAAGGTCACTCTAGTATTAACCTCTGTCAACGGTGAGAAATAGCTACTGACATGTATATCTACTTCTCTGTCACATTTTACACTACCTTAAGACTTTAGCCCATGCTGGTTGCTGAATTTCTCCAATAACTTCTTGTGAAGGAGGTTTTAAAAAATCTTTGGAAAGTTTAAACATTTTCTATCTACAGGTTGGTGTATTTTAAAATCAATCAGATAATGTGTAGGGAGTGGCAATAGAGAAGGAATAGCATGGGCTTTTTTTTTTTTTTTCTTAATATGGTTCCTTAACAATCAATAATTATCTTGCAACTTTAAAGTTCTCCAGCTCCTACAACTCTAACTTCAAAGGAAATAGGGGATGCAAGTATCCTTAACAAGTGGATAGAAGAGCAATTAAAATCTGGCCAGAAGTTCGATTTTTCCCCAAAGGCCTATTTTCCCGCAGAGTAAGCATTGTAGTCTTTAAACTGTTCTTTACAAGGGTAAACTTTATGCTTAGGGTAGTGATCGATACCTCTTCTAAATGAATGAATTGATTCCCTTCCCCCTACCTCTTGTAGCAAGAAACAAATGATCAGCTGCTGTTGAGGCAACTTCAATACAAGACTTCTCACCTAAGTTTGGACAGATCATTGATATTGCAAACCCAGGAACAGAGTGAACTAGCATCTCTGCAATATTTTCAAGTTCTTTGCAATTGAAAATCCAAGTTTTGCCAACAGCCTGACAGTTCAAACAGCACAGCACAAGCCACCAGGCTGTCTTATATATCAATAATTTATCATTATTCTGTGAATATACTAGACAGTCATTTAAAAGTTAAACATACACTTTGAATGATGTGTAATCACTTGCGTTCACCACTACCTTGATATCATGGGCAAACAGCTGAAAGTTATAATTAGTAATGCATGGTTCTTGTACACCATTTTGCGAGTGGGAGGTTTATAGAGGAAGCAGACACTTAGAGATAAAAATCTCATGGTCAAGGACAGAAATAAGTTCACATCCCCAAATTCTCAGCCTGATTTGCTGTTACCAAATCAAGTTAACACTTTATGGTGGAGTCCAGAAGCCCCAGTTAAAGGCTGATATCTCTCTTATTTTGTGATACAGTACAAAAAGGTAAAATAAATCTATAACAAGACATTGTTTTACACGTATTGCTATTTCAGATAACTCTGACAGACCAAAAAGTCCTGAATTTTGGTAAGAGCTCTGAACATGCCTTCACACATAGAAGAAAGCAGCAAGAGTGATCAGGGCTCAAGAAAACATGAGAGATACAGACAGACTTTCAGATATGTAAAACATGCCCATGACAGTGGTGGATAAGATAAAACAGATATAAATTTCAATGAAGAATCTGACATCAAGAAGTAGATAATGAAGTTCTGAAACTGGTATTTGAGAAAGGTTTCTGGATGTTTTATTTCAATATTTGAATTTTAAATAATGTAGCGATTAATGATGTCAATAATGATAAACAATAAAACAATATAAAAAAGTTAATCCACATACCACTCCTTTTCTGATACATATACCAGACTTTTAACAAGTTTAAAATATATAGAGAGATAGATACACTTACATACAGATTTGAGAATACTTGGAAACATATTAAGACTTTCCTTCTCTAATATTTTTAAGCGTAGTTAATTTTAAAGTTCTTCCCTTGCTTGTCAACTGATAACACAAAATAGTTGTTTCCACACTTAACAGCATTATTACCATAACATATTCTTCCTAGAATAATGATCCTCTGGGCTGTGCTTGCCTCTGACAACCACAATCTCTGGATGCGATAAAATGCAGCTTCTCAATGTACGTGTCCCATGCCACACACGATTCCGAGTGAGTGATCTGAATCATGTAGCTCTCAGTGTCATTTTTATAACATATTTTGTCTCATTCTGAGGCTGACAGAAGACATGAGAATCAATAGAAATACAGGAAAATAGAGAGGAAACTAGAACTAGGAAAAATGGGTATGAAGCACTAGAGATATACATAATCTTCAGTGAGATGAGAACATTTTGGCAAGATAATTTTGACAGATAGCACACCCCCAGCCAGTGGTTGATCTGTGTAAGAGAATGCTTGCTGCTGTTATTTTCTTGTTTGTTATCCCCTAGAGTTCTTGTACTGGTATCTTGAGAAGTTATTTTATCATTTATTGAAATGTTCCATATATCCTAACAATAAATAGTTAATGCTGTGATATTAAATGTCTGATGTCTGACATGAAAGGTCTCAGTTGCAGTTGTTAAGAGATGTGCACTTCACTTTTCATTTTTAGTGTCCGTTTAAAGATATATATAGAAATTCACGAAGGTACTATATGTGTCTTGTTTACCCTAAGCTTTTTTTTTTTCTTTTTCTTTTTTCCCTCCTGTTATTTTCGATATATTTAGTTGTTTTGTTTTGTTTTCATACAAACTGGTTGCCTGTATTTCAAGGAGAAAAAAATTTATCTGGTTAACAGGTTTAACAAAGGAACATAACAAGAGGATAAACAGTCCAACCTGATGAAATGTACGTTTCTGATATAACCAACATTAAAATAAACAAGATTAAAAAAAAAAAAAAAAAAGAGAGAGAAAACCTTAGAGTACCTCAAAGCTTTAGGACTTCTTGCCGTTAAAAGGATAAAATATTAAAATTGCTGTTGTTCCTGTTTGTTATTTTCTGGGCATTCCTCTAATTACTTTTACATGTATTCCTGTATGTAAAGGAAATCTTTTTTCTTTTTTTTCTCCCCAACATTCAGAGAGATCTCAGGTCCTAGGCTACCAAACTTAGAGAAACAAAGGCTGGCTTTGAGATTTGACTTTATTTCTACAACTTTTTTAGGTGTCTGAAAAAAAAAAAGTGTGGGGTCTATTAATAGCTTACATTTAAATCAACCCATATTGTGGTTTGGAGAGGAATCAATATTTACAGTCCCAGATATTATGTAAGGTAGATCTTGGTTTATCCTTTACTGCTGGTAAGGTTTTCAGCTGAGTATCTGACAATGAGAAAACTTAGTTAGATTTGGAGATTTCATTTAAATGAAGTTCCCAAAAGTTAAATCTGATATTAAGCTGTATCTGAACTTACTGAAAACAGTGTTCCTTGGTAAGCTCTGATTTACAGGTAGTTCTAGCTTACCTAGAAATGAAAGTAGCTTATTTTGTGCCAGCCAATGCTGGAAATAAGCAGCACAGGAGACAACAGCAATGGTCACAGAATTATGTAAAAACAAATCAGCTTTATTTTGATTTGCTTTTTGTAATAGTGGAGAAAGTTCCTTTTGAGTGTAGCCAGTGTCATCAGTTACAATAGTAAACGTAAATTACTTAAAAGCCAGTTTCAACACATTTTAGGTAGCCTGACTACTCCATTCCATGAGTCAGTAACATTAGGACATATCATGCCCATATCATATCACTTAAATTGGAGAAGGCAGAACTTTCTAAGGTAAAACCCTAAAGTAGGTCTCCAGTAATTCTCCTCCTCTCCCTGCCCTGAGTTTTCTAGCCCTGCTCCCTTTTCTGGCCAGACATTGTGTGACTGACTGAGGAGGGACAAGAAAGGAGCTGAGCCCATGAAAATTCTTGAATTCTGGGGGAGAGTGCCAGGCAGAACTGATGGCCTCTGATGGCCCAGACAAAAGGGCTAATGCAAAGGAGTGGGTGAGAATATGTGTCTGTGGGTCACAGCTAAAAATGGATCATGTGAAGCCTCCATGCAGCTGCACAATTATTTAAGTGTTATTATTAAAGTGGTTGCAAGCTGAGTATGGGCAGGAGACAACGTTTGGACTCAACAAACAGGCATGACACTGAGCTTCTGAATCAGACTGCCTAAACTTACACTTAAAGAACATTTTTACAACACTCAAAATTTAGGAAAAATAAGGATTAAAATGCAACTTGTAATCAGTTTCTTCTTGCATTATTTTGTTTGCCTAAAATAATCAGTCTGGAGTACTAGAAGGAACAGCTCTCTAACACAAAATCCTGGAGTAGTTCAGACAACAGCTACAACCATGTGATCTAATTCAGTTATCATTCAGGGGATTTTTTTTTCTTCCTTTTTTTTTTTTTTTTTCCCTAATCCCATTTGATTGGGCACCAAACTCTTATTTATTTATTTATTTTTTGCAAAGAGAGCCTTAGTCTTAACAAAACCTTCCCTTGGACAGCTCTGTGAATGACACCATTTATTTCTCTGGTGAAGATTTCCCCAAGTGGAACACTTTTCAAAGGCAGGGGCCCTCAGGCAGAATCCCAGCACAGGTTGCATGCTCTTTTTATGGTTCTGTGGCTGACAGCATGTGCCTTCTCCACAGTGAATCATCAATGATAAAGAAAGGCAAGAGGGTGAGTATATGTGCACTTTATATCTGATGTTTGGAAGGACCATGACTAGGGAGCTAATACACTGGCTGCTGGAGAGCTCTAGTCACTTCATTGTGAATTATAGACCGGGAAAGTGAATCACATTAAAGACCTAACCTGCAGATGAATACAAATTTGGTTTTTCATTATAAATGACGTTTGTGAAATGCAGCTTTGCTTCCTAGCAGGAGAAGGAACAATCAAACTAAATGCTAATGCAGCAGCCCTATCCTGTCCTGTGACGCATGGTGATCAATTGCTTGTTCTTCTGCTGTGGACGTAACACATCTTCAAGCAGGGAAACACTTTAGTCTAAGGTGTGGATTTAATTTGGCTATATTTCTTGCTGCTCTGTAGAGCGTTTCTGAGCTATGGCAAAGAATATATTTATTTATTTATTAGTTTGTCTGTTTGTTTCCAGAGACGTTGGTTGAAAGTAATTTTTTTTATAAGTGTACAGCTTTAAAGAGCTCATAACATTAATTGTTTTATGTCTTGTTCAAGCTGTTCTTTCTGATGGTCAGTGACATATCAGATTTGTTTCTATGTTATGAAGTCATAGGCTGGGTGCAACATTAAATATCCTTTTTTCTCTTGATTTGGAATGTTTTATGTACAGACTGGAATTAGTGGGGATTAGATCAAACTATGACTGCCAAATTTCCTTTTTCCTTCAGGATAGCTGCTTCCTCCCTAACATGCAGATTTGGTAAATTATGAGTCACATTTGCCTGTTACTCTCTCTGCAGATGGCTTTGTTAGTGTGTTTTTTTGTTGTTGTTTTCTTTTTGAAAATGCCAGACAAGAGTTTCTCTACTGTACAAGTAAACAGCTCTGTGATTTGGTTAGTTAGGGTCATCTGAAGGAAAGAGAGAAATAAATGCGTTGAAAAGCACAGCTCTACTAATTGAGTTTTATGAGGACCAACGAAAGCTTGCTTCTAAACTTCTAAACTAAAGTTTCAGTATTACTCAGAAGAGAGTTTGCACAGGCTTGCAGAGGGCAGCATGACTTTCTGAAAGCCTGTCAAAATTGCCTTACACAGGGGAGTGGTGCCTTTTAAGAGAGAAAAAAAAATGTCCTCAGCCTTAGAAGTGAAGCATGCAGGTGGGGTTTCCTTTGTGGTCACATATCTTGCTCATTTGATCTAAAAATAAGAAATCTAACAGTAGATTTTATTGCAGTTTCCAACTTGTGCTCAAGTTCAGGCAATTTGCTTAAGTTTTGGAAGTGATGGGACAATTTGAACTGGAGCAACTAGCATCTGTCTTGCAAGCACATTCTCTGTTTGGGATGAAAAGATGAGCAGAAATTGAAAGCAAGGGTTAATTATGAACAAATGGGTAATTACCTGGATGTGGGGGTTTCTTTTTCTTTTTTGTTTTCCTGTTGCAACCTTCACTGTCATATAGCTACTGTTAGTTCACTTTCCATTCTGCACTGATACCTCTATGCATTCAAATGGATTTCCCCACTGTCTTTCTGATTAAATAAAATCCTGGGGATTCTTCACACATTAAATATAATTACAAAAGCCTTTGCATATTGTGCAATTACCTCTTCTTTTGTTTTCCTAAAAAATACAGTAGACAGCTCCCTGTCAGGACACTATAATTATCAGGTGAGTATCACGGCATCACTCTATGGGAGAAATCTCCATATATAACGTCGCAGTCCAAGGTTATATGTTGATAGGCAAAGCCACATCAAAAAGAGTTGTTTGCACCAGTATCTTCAGGGGATGTAAACAGGTAGTAGTCTGTTCATTCCTATCATGACTTCAGAATCTATTACAAGCAGAAAAACATTTGTGATTTAGATCAAGAGGTTTCAGAGTAGACAACCTCATTTCCTGTCCTGCACCCCACACACTCCTTCCCATCCCCAAAGTCCTTCCACATAAGAGACAACCTCATCTGCACATTGCCATTGCCTGGAAACTGATATCCCTCTTCCAGCCTGGCTTTAAACAGTGGAGCTCTAATTATGGCATTAACCACTCATTTTTTATCATGTCCATCTTCACTAATGAATATTTTTCCTGTCATACCTAAGGTGCAGATAGTGAACCCCTTCTGAGAAAACAAATAAATACACATATATATGACTTCAAAAACAGATGTAATTCTGGGAAATTAAGTCTTTTATGTGATGATGTTTATGAAGGTTAAATATTCTAATTCAAACCCATCTTTAGTTCTGGAACAACTAATTTGCTCTAGAAATCAGAAATGTATCTGTATTTTTAAGTTGTATACCAGAAAGGGGAAAAAAAAAAAAAGAGAGAGAGAAAGAGAAAAAAAACACTTTTTAAAAGCTCTGATCCTCCTTATACATCTACACTTATATATCTACATCTACTGCCAGAGTAGATTGCAGTAGATAAGAGGTAGATGAAACCAAACAGCCAGTATAAGAGGGATCAGCAATACCCGGAGTCTGGTGAAAGAGGTTTTCACTAAGAGGCCTTCCACCTCCAACCTCCCCACCATGACTCTGCAGAAAAGTCAGGGCAAGCCTGGGAATTCCTAAATTCATAACACTGCTGCAGACTGAAATCATGGACAAGACAAAAACACCTTGCCTTCCATTCTTTTTGCAATCATAACAGGTAACTCTTAGCAGCGTTGTGCTCTGCCCCTTCTCAGCTGTTGTAAAAGCATTGGTCCTGTCTGTTTCTGACCAGGCTGAAAATTTGTATGTCCCAGGCCTTACCTTTTTTTCTTTTTTCAATGCACTCAATTGATTTTATAAAGCATTTGACCTGTCCCTTCAAATCTCACTTCTCTGGAAAGATTAGCAGTACTGAGGACATTGCAGTTTTTGATGCTGACAAGCCATTTGAAGGGAGCTGAGAATGTATGTGCCTAATCCTGAGCAGCAGAAGTCTCTCTTTGGTTTGCGTGACAGAACAGATGTAGTTTGGGCATAATTACAGCTGGATGGGGCTGCATCTTCCTCATGTTCCTTCAGTGCCGTCATGCTCAGTCAGAACTGGATACAAACTTCAGTAGAACAAGATAAATGCATGAAGGTTAGAGTGGATAAAAGTGCCAGACTGGAATACACCTGCAGTCTTGGCCCAGTCATCCCTCCCTCTTGCACCTTAGTTTCCTCATCTGTAAATTGTGAATAGTAATGTTAACCTTCTCTTCACAGAAACATGAAGAAAAAAATTACAGAGGGCTACTAAGATCACCGTGGTCTGTAGGAGAAATTCTAGCACCTGGTTCAGTATTCTACTCAGGGAGCACCACAGTTACTTTTTGGTACCCCAACCATTCTTCTTGGCCTAGATTTGCAGGTTATTAGGAGATCTCAGTATTTTGTCTACCTCAGGTGATCTTGATCCACTTGTTCCTTTCTTTTCTTCTTGTGAAGATTGTGAAGATGTGAACTTGTGAAGATGAAAGACCATTTATTCCTAAATATGTGTGGTTTTGTTTGCTTGTTTGTTTGTTTTTTCCTGCGTATAAGCAATATTCTGCTGCTGCAGCTGCTGCACTTTCTGCTACTGCTGCTAAAGGGAATCAGAATATTCAAACAAATATGTACTAATGTAGTTACAGTAGAGAGAGAGGGCCTCTGACTGTTGCTAGACATGAATCATGTGCAGAATGAGAGCATGGATGTCTCTGCTCCTAGACATTTACAGCCTATCCAGGCAAATGAAATCACATGAAGAAAGAAGTGTGCTAGTAACCATCTCCAGAGAGCAGACAGAGCAGAATAAAAATAAAGGGATTTGCCAAAAACAGAGATGCGAAATGGAGGAAGAGCCTGGGACTTGGTTTGGGTTCCCGAGGAGCAGCCCAGCTCCCTGCCTCGCTCTGGCTTTCTGCCCTGCTTCTCTTTGCAGTATTGTTTGAGTATATCCAGTCATAACATCATACCTCCCGGGGAGGAGCTGTTTATGTGCAGACAGAAGAATCATGTAAGTTATTTCTGGATGAACAGATAATTGGATTCTGAAGTGAATAAAGGTTGCTTATGGTTGTTGTTGTTTTTGTTTGTTTGCTTTTATTTTATTTATTTAATTTAGTCTCATCCCCACCCCCCTTTCAGTCTCTCTATCTTATTCTGTCTTTCTGTTTATTTTTTCAGGTCTGACTTTCATATCCTTGTATTTGATTAGGATCTCCAGGGGTAAGTGTTTCTTCTTTGCACAACACCTTCTGCTTTTTTTGGGGAAATGAGTGGAAGATAGGAAGTTAGCAAGGCAGAAACATGAGACAACCAAGCCCCAAGGAATTACAACCAAGCTCACAAACAGGGCTCAGGCACGTGCACACCTTGCACCTTCCTGGTTTTCCTCTGCTGCTTTCAAAGTACATTTTGCACTCTCTATCTCCTGTGAAGTTATCAGGTGAAATCTGCCACCAGCTAGCTGAACACTGGTTACCTTGCAAAAGTGCTTGCAGGGTGTTGGTGCCAATTCTTTTTTCTACAGTGATAAGTGATTCCCTGTGATACAGTCTGCCTGAGCTGTAATTTTGCTCTTGCCAGAATAACTTGACACTGCTAGTAGATGGAAACAAAACCTACATGTTCACATCTGCATGCCTCCTCTCAGTGTTTGCTGCTGTTTGCTGCTCCCCCTGTTCTCACTTGTCTGGCAGTGCTCTGGCCACTTGATAAGCCTTCCTGCCCTGCACCCCAGAGGCTGCACATTTCCCAGAGAAGAAGTAATCCTGAACAGAGAGATAAGGTGTGGGAGTTTGGGCAGTGGTGCCAAGCAATTTATCAACAGCACTATCCCTGCTGGAAACAAGTCATCAACAATAAGAAAAGGGCATGATAGTCCCTTCTCCAGAGCAGTCAGATAGCCCAGTGCTGAATGCTAATGGCTTCATGAAGGTCTCCTTGTCCTCTGGTTTTGCTCTGAAGCATAAGAAGAAAGATGCTTCCACAAGGAAGCACTTTCAGCAAGGCCCATACAGGTGTTGTTACATCCCCACTAAGGGTCTACATAACCCCTTCAGCATTTTATTGAGGGGTTTCCACCAGAACACCAGCCAAAAAAAAAATGCCTTCATGTACCAGCAGGCAGCTGTTTCAGTCTCACTGTGTTGTGCAGTCATAGGTTCACTCTAGCTGTGGCCAAACACCTCTTTGCTGTTGCAGTACTGAGGACCACAGAACATGTGTTTGTGCACTACATCTCTGAGCCTGCATTTGAATCACAGATGTCCAGGTTTCTGTTTTAGTCATAAAATAAACAGAGTTTAGTTAAGATACTGTCTCTGCAAAGGGTGTGGGAGTGGAAGAATCTGCTTCTATCCTCTTGCTAGAAGTGCATTTCTGCAGAATTTTGCTGATGATACATTGTCACTACAGGTCTTTTAATCCATGCTACTCCTCTCCCATAAATCCCACACATACATGTTAGAATCTTCCACTCCACTGCAGTGTGGGGCCCAGAGACCTTTCCTGTAAGTTGAGTCCTATGCTTTGGTGGATACATTGGCTTTACGTAACACTTGCTACTAAATGACTTTTCTTGATTCACCAAATCTCTAATTGACTGGACTTGAGCTGTCTCAGAGACATGCACCGCATCAATGGCCAAAACCCACCTTATTGACTACAAGCCAGAACAACATACATGTATATACATGTATATATACACATTTTATTTTTTCAGAGAGAGAAAAGTGTGTGGGACTGCAATGCTTCAAACCCTATTATCTGTGGCCAAAGAGCTAAAAACAATCTCAAACATTTCAATGAAAATTTGCAGCTCATCTTGCAACTGTTTCTTCTTTAGCAGTAAGAAAAACAGTCACTTTTAACAGGGCTTATCTATCTAAATTTTTCTCTGCCTGTAACAGGGAAGAAGCTAAAAAACCTCAGTGGGATCACAGATTTAGAGTAGCTACCACATTTACAGTCCTGAGAAATGTTCTCATAACCAAGTGATGTATCACTCAAATATGTAAATAAGTTTTCCATGGGGAGCTCTCAGTCTCTGCCTCAGAGGAAGTTTTGCTTAAATAAGCACAGAACAGCTCTGTTGTTGCAACTTTATGGAGCTTATCCCTTCAGGCTGCTAGTCCCAGAAGCTGTGCAAGTCCTGGCCAGGCTCTCTGACAATCTAGCAGATGTGTTCAGCTGCAGACACTACCTTTCTAGCTCTGCCAGCACTCCTCTCCCAACTTTGTCAGAGGCTGCTGCTGCTGTGCTTTGCAAGTAATGTAAAGGTGTTAAATGTGGTTTGTGTTTTTTTTTTCTTTTTTTTTTTCTTTTTTTTTTCTTTTTTTCTTTTCCCACAGAAGGACATCTGGGCTGTGCACAGTGAGAGACATTCTCAAAGAAAGTTTTCATGGGACTAAATTATAATAATTCAGCCTTTGGTTTGCTTTGAAGTTGTGCACTCACACTAACAGTTGTGGTTCATTTTCTTACTGAAAATACAATGAGAGTTGTCCCTTAAAATGTCAGTACTTGCATGGTCCCCTTTCCTGACAAAGAACAGTGGCATTGTTTTGCCATTATGTATCATAGAATTCCCACTTCTCCCTTTGGTTTTAAAACAGAGAGATTTTGGAGACCTCCTGTGCCAGCATCAAGAAATAGATTCAAAGGTAGAATTCAAAATTGCACATAAATTGTTTTCAGAAGACTTTGGAGGCAGATTCTGCTCAAGAGATGCAGAGAAAACAGGACAGAAAAGTTATTCATGCATGGAAGAAAAAGGAGGAGAAGGCAGCAGAGCAGCAAGAGGAGATAGAAGCCAAAGAGATGGAACAGAAACTGAATCAAACCTGGGTTTAAGAAAAAAATTTACATCTCTTTATTTTAGTGTACATAAGTACCAAATCCCAAAATAGGACACTTTAATGACAATGATCACATTATTACGTTTAGATGTAGAGCTTAGGGATATAGTTTAGTGGGGACTGTTAGTGTTAGGTTAGAGGTCGGACTCGATGATCTTGAGGTCTCTTCCAACCTAGAAATTCTGTGATTCTGTGATTCTGTGATTATGAAACTTGTCTTTGGGGCGAAAGGGATGAATATGTTCAGTGGCATTATTCCAGCCTTGTACTTGAGATAGCTTTTCTTCTACTCCCATTTCAAGCAAGTGCTATCACAAGCCACATTTAGGCACAAACAAAGCAACTAAGAAAATAGAAATACACATTATTTCAGGCCATGAAAACAGAACAAGATGCAGATGGCCTTCTTCGAAATCTGGCTTTCTTTCAATGCGTGTCAGCACAGCTATATATCTCTCTGAGCTACTGTGACAAGAACAGAGAATAGATGGATGACTGTTTTACTGCAGGTTTTGATAGCAATTTTGAGAGATTAGGGCTGTTTTGGAAAGACAAGTTTCAGAGTCTTCTTTCTGAAGGTGTTTGAGATTAGCAAGTAACTTTAGCAACTCTGATATCTCCTTCAGAGACAATAGAGGTTGAAGGAAAATCAGTCATAAAAGAGAATTTAACTAAGTTTCTTATCCCCATGTTTGTTTAGGGAGGGCATTTTCAGAGGACTGGCAGAGCCAACTTCATAGGATGCATTTCAACAATGAGAAAGGGCTGTGATCAAAGGGAATTAATATACTCTTGAACATGAAACATCTAAACATCTACACTGACATAGCATGTGGCCTCTTGCAGAAAGAAACGGAATCAGCAGCCAATAAAGCAGGCAATTTTTCTTTGATTGTTCTTATACTTTTTTTTTTTTCATTGAACCTTGTGTGGTTTTTGTTGGGTTGCTGGTGTCCTAGGTTTACCTTCTACTCTCAGTCATCAGTCTCCCTGTCTTGATGGCAGTCACTTCATTCAGCCAATGTGGTAAATTTTGTGGGGGTGATTTCACAGAATAATTATGACGAATGTTGTTAGTATTAATCACTGTCTTCCTGAATTAAGGCACTTGAAGTAAAGCACTGTCTGGTGAAAGGAGAAGAATAATATCCATGCGATAAACTGCTAATGCTCTATCAATGTCGAGAGAGAGGAGCTGCTTAGTTCTGTAATGACTGGAGTCTCTTATTTCATTTAAGAATGTATTTCTCTTCCTTCTGACATTCATGTCTGCTTATTGATATTTATATACTAAGTAAAATCATGTTGTCAAATTTGCATCACATCAGCTGAATACAGTGGTAAAAGAGGGTGTCAGATTATAAAATATGTGTTCCTTAAACACTGCTGAGAAGGGAAATATTAATGTGTCCATCAGCGGTTATTCTTTTTCACTTGTGCTATTCATGAGTGATACAGAAACTTCCCCTGGCCTCACTCTTCAGATAATTAAATTGTGCTGTAACTCCTTATGGTGGATGACTACAGAACTATACTTCTGGGAAATCAACTGGTAGGGAAAGGCACCATCTTTTTCTAGACTTGCTGATATATTTGGGAAAAAATAATAATAATAATAAAAAAATATATATAGATATGCTATCAGGTTCCTCTAGCTGACTCTGTGCTTGAAATATTCTAGATCCAGCCTGGTAATGGATGTGAGCTGTGCTCTAAGTCCTACTTTCTCTGACTGTCACACCTACAACAACACTATTATAAAGCACACAGAAAATTGTGCTTTCCTTCCTGGATTTCCATAGGCCAGAAGAATGATGATTCTGTGTCCCATAAGATGTTGGGAGAGAACAATCAATGGATTTTGTATCAATGGGCAATGATTTTTCTCCAGCTGCTGCCTGGCATTGTCTTCTGATCACTCCAGTTCCCACTTGCTTCTGGGTACTGCCCCCACACAACCCACCATCAGGCCAACAGCTTCAGCTCTATTAAGACCAACAACTTAGACACACATTTTATAGCCATCAGCTTCTGGTATCAATTTTATAGACATGCAAAATAGCTTTCCTTCCCCCAGCAACCATATGCTGAACTGCCAGATTATACTGATTTTTTTTTTTATATATATTTTTTTTAAGTTTTAATTTGCAAAGTCTCACTAAATTGAGAATTAATTGTAAGTTTTGAATTAAATCACTTCTCTGGAATCAATGGTACTCTGCTAAATAAACCCCTAAAATACCTAAATGCAATTTCAGAGAAACCATTGCACTTCCCATCTGTACCTCTGTAATCAACCTTACATGTTAAAAAGAAACAGAAGTCAGGAGAGAAAATGGAGGCCATCAAAAGAAAACAGGTCAAGCAGAGGATTGGAGCTGGGGCAGAGCTGTCCCAGCCCAGCTCAGGTCTTGTGCCCCAGATGTTGCTCATGAGCTGCCTCACTCTTTCATATTTTCAGACAGCAATTTATTATGGCCTCACAAGTTGGTTTCCTGTGCTTCTGTGAGACAAGGGTATTGGAAAACAAGAATACAGGACCATGTGATTTTCTCACTGTAAATTAGAAGAATAGAGTTTGTGCTTGGACTTATATTTTTTCATGACAATTTTGCCAGTATGATGTAACATACTAAATGTAAGTATTTATACTAATGCACTTTCATAGTCCCACTTGGACCATGAAGATGAAGGATGTTTAACAAATCCGTTAGCTGTTTATGGCTGCTATTTTTCTCTAAAGGTTATTGTAGTGATTTGTAATGTTCATTTAAATAACAACTTCCCATCTAAGACAGGCTGGCACCCTGACTTCAGTGACCTCTAGTTCACACAGTTGTGTTATATAGGCTTTGCTATATTTGCACTTAACCTAAATACACTTACAATGTTGGAAGAGAACTGTGACACAGCTTAAAATGTTTTGGGCCCAAGTTATAAAAGCTATTTCAGAAACCATACCATATACATATGCCTTCCTAATGTTTTGGTCAGTATGCTTATAGCTACTCCAGATCTTTTTTTAGCAAAAAAAAAAAAATCATACAAAAAAATTACACCTGTAAGTACAAAATTACCTGAACTGATAACTGTAAGAAACAGGTTTCACGTTGAGTTTTAAGGGTTTTTTTTTTTTTGTTTGTTTGTTTATTTTTTGTTGTTGTTGTCTGTTTGTTTTGTTTTTTGGCTGTTTGTATTCTCAGAAGAAAAAGTAGGTAGCAACTATGAACAACCCATTGTTTTTCTAACTTTGTCTTCATCCCAAATTTAGGAGCTTTTCAAGCAACTGGCCACCATAGTTCTATGTTTGGATTTAATACATTTAGTTAGGGCAGAGTCATAGCCTTAATCAAGAGTGTCTCCTGATAGTCTTCTCTTTTCAGGTTAAAAGATTTCAAAAGTTAAAATGTATTCATGTCTGAGTACTCCTTGGATGCCATTTTGTGGTAGCTTTATAAAAAGCATGACTCAGAGCATATAATTAATCCCTAAAGCATTTCAGACTTTTTCAAGTTATTCAACAAATGAGACTTCGCAATAATGGTGAAATAATTTTGTTTCCAAAATGTAAGACTGAGTTCAGCTCTAACAATTCTTCTGGGTGTATAGAAATTTATTTATTTCTTTGATCAGGAAAGAACACAATAAAGATGGATAAATTCCACTTTAAAACAAGGAAAAAATATGAGATATAAGAATATGTATGTATATAGTTTATTATACACTTCTATAGTTAAGTTAATTTTATTGTAATTTGTTAAACAGGGAGAAGAGCTGAAGATCTTACTAAAGACCTTAAACTGAGCATTAATGATTTCTTAATAGAAAAAGACTGTTAAAGTTCTGGGACAGTGGTCACATAATCACCTACCCTGCTTGAAGGTAACTATCCATATTGCTTTCAAAGTCTTGTTCACTGAGCATAAGAATGGCAGTGCAGTACCAGAATAAAGATTAATCTAGGTAATTTGCTGTCTGGGATAGTAGCAGATGCATAGAGATGAGCATGAGCTTATGGTTTCATAATACATAGAGCCAAGGTAACAGCTAGGTACTGCCAAGAGAGAAAGGTCCTGCTCTTTCAGCTTCTGCAACCCCAGACCCTGGATTCATAAACTTGCCTGTGCAGTTCTGATGCACACAACACACCAATTCACTCCAACTCACTGAAAGGGTAGAAAATGCACTTAAAAACAGAAGAGAGAAAAAAAAAAAAAAAGTGCATTTGTATTTGGTGCGTTGAGCTTGCTAGCCCTATGATCAATCAGTACCAGAGCCAGACTGAGGTGTCAGGCATCTGGGGTCAGCTGATGTGGGAGGAAAGAGCAAGGAAGGCTGGACAGGAGGAGGAATTGAAGTAAATCTCTTTCCTGAACAGAAATAGCTAATTTAGAATTTATAATCCATACTATATATATCTTTTATTATTATTATTTACTTAAACGTGCATTACTTACAAAGTATTGCACTTGATTTTCATTGGCCATTTTATTATTTGGTCACTCAATGTCATGCAGTCTTTCTGTGGCAATTCACCATACTTGGCACTGTAGGCAGCATTAGGTCTTAGTATTCAGAACCTAGGAGGATCATGACAGTAACTGCTTTCTATTGTCAAAACTGACCATATAGTTGAATGCTCTCTTTCCTACTTTTTAAGCAGTCATCAGTCTTTGAGAGAAACTTTCTATCCAGCCTGAGAGGTCTGAAGGGCTTTTGATAATGAGAGCTGTTGCCACCTTTTCTGGAAGGTGGTAGATTGACCACTTGGGCATTGATTTCTGTCCATATGATGGATGACTTGCCTGAGCAAAAGTCATGTTGATAAACATAGTTACAATGCATTCACTTCTTTGTTTATATCACTGTCTCTCACAGCAGTTGGGATTTTATTTTATTTTATTTTATTTTATTTTATTTTATTTTATTTTATTTTATTTTATTTTATTTTATTTTATTTTATTTTATTATTTTTTTTTTTTTTCTGTGAGTTTCATGCAGGGACAGAGAGCCTTTGTTAAAGATTGGTGCCATACTGCCACCTTCCACTCCTCTAGCACTTTGTTGGTGCTATGCTATAGATCACACCTCATGGCAATTCCATAGCTGAGATGCTTTAAGCTCTTGAATAAATATCATCTGTTCCTGGTAATTTTTCATTGTTCAGTTTCTCAATTTGTTCCGAGCCACCTATTGATTCTTTAAGCTGAGGCCATTCTTTCTAGTGAAAAATGTCTCCATTGTAGGAAATTGAGACATGGACACTTTTTAGTGTCCATGGACACTAAATTCATGGACACTTTTAGGGCCATTAGATACTTCTTAAAATCTTAAAGGTTCTTTTATAGCTTAGCGATATGTCCAAATTTAAACATTAAAAAAATAGTCATTGTGGTAGGCAAAAAACTGCTCTAAACTGGCAGCAGATAATTGCATGTATGCATACATGTGCAGGGTGAATATCCAAACATCCTGACTGCAGGAATATCTTGGAAATAGGTGAGATTTACAGCTTGAGAACTGGCACCGCCTGAACCTGATGAGGTTCAACAAGTCAGAATGAAAATTGCTGCCCCTTGGCTGGGGCAATCCCAGACATGAGTACAGACCGGGAGAAAAACTCTTTGAGAGAAGCCCTGCTGAGAAGGACTCAGGGGTTTTGATGGATGAAAAGCTTGACATGAGCCATCAGTATGTGAGCCATCAGTGCAGAAGGCCAACTGCATCCTGGGCTGCATCAAAACAGTGGACAGCAGGACAAGGGAGGTGATTGTCCCCCTCTGCTCTGCTCTTGTGAGGCCCCACCTGGAGTACTGCGTGAAGGCCTGGGGCCCCCAGCACAAGAAGGGTGTGGACCTGTTAGGGCCACAAAGGTGATCAAGAGGCTGGAGTACCTCTCCTACAAAGAAAAGCTGAGATAGCTGGGGTTGTTCAGCCTAAAGAAGAGAAGGCTCTGGGGTGACCTTTTCAGTACTTAAAGGTACTGAAGTATTTAAAGTACTTATAAAAAAGATGGAGAGCGATGTTTTGCTTAATCAGATAATGGCAGAACAAGGGGAAATGGATTTAAACGAGAAGAGGGGATATTTAGATTAGAGGTTAGGAGGAAATTCTTCACTCAGAGGGTAAATCAGAGAGTAGTGAGGCACTGAACCCAGAGAGATTGTGGATGCCCCGCCTGGAGGTATTAAAGACCAGGTTGGATGGAGCTTTGGGCAACCTGATCTAGTGGGTGACATCCCTGTCTATGGCAGGCGCATGGAACTAGATGATCTTTAAGGTCCCTTCTAACCTGAGCCATTCTATGATTCTATGATATAGAGACAAATGACAAGAAATGCCCAGGAACCTTAGCTAATAACACTGGAGACTGACACTGGAAGCAGCTGTTCAGCAGGCCTGACTTGCTGCCTGACCTCCCCAGACTAGGAAGATCTGAGCAGGGAAACTAAGAAACTAAGAAACTAGGGAAGATGATGCAGGTGGGACAGCAAACGAGTATGTAAAATAACAAATTAGGGCAAAAACATGTTGGTTCTTAAATAGACCCCAGTGTCTAAATCCAAGAGTTGCTGTTTACTCTGTCTCATTAGTCAGATCCACTACATCTTTCTATTTATTTATTTATCTTGTATTTGCTTTACAACAGAAAACAGTAAGTTGAGGCTTCTTTTTGACCTTTATGTTCCAAGTCTTGAAGTGCGCTTTCAATGTTTTGAAATATTGCTTTTAAATTAGAAATACAAGAAACCTCCTATATAAATATCCTATTTACCTGATTCCCATAACTGGATAATAAATGAAAACCTTCATTAACCCATATCTTGCCCTAAAAGTTGAAAAATTGTCAGTACTGGACAATGAATACAACTGTGAACGTAATCAGAGTTGCTGTAGCAATTATTTAAGCTGAAAAAGATTTCCTAGGGTATGAATACATCTAATTGAGCTGTATTTAAATTCAGTATGTTTTATTCTGTTCCATTAACTCACAGTTTGTAAGCCAAACTTATATTTATTCTACTGCAAAATTAATCTTTAGAAAACCAGTACGGCTTTTTCCAGACCAGAACTATATAACAGACTACAGATTGAAGTTTAATATACTGTCTTGTTTATTTTTGTGTGTGTGTTTTTGTTTGTTTGTTTTTTAACCAAGATTTCATCTCGTGGAATGGTTAAAAAAACATTATTCATGGTCTTTTTCATATGCCACATATTAGATTCCCTAGTCAATGTTTTTTCCTATTAAAAAAAAGAAAAAAATAAAAAGAAAAAAAAAAAAACACATCTCTGAAAATTGGGACCCTCAATGTTTTAGGTACAAAACTAGGCTACATGACATTCAACAGTGATGAACATTTTCAGCTTTTTTGCTGTCACTCAAGGTCTATTTCTTGTACTAGAACAGACGGGCAGTCTCTTGTTTTACTCTATCATATTTTTGACTCTCCTGTCCTGAAAGCAGGATAGGAGCTATTTCATTACACCTGCATTGGGTGCTGGCAGTGTTCAGTCCTTAACCCTTCTATCCAGCATATCAGTGAAGGTAGGTTCTGTTCCCTAGCCAGCCTACTTCAATGCAAGGAGTTTCATACCCAAAAAGCCTTCATTTTGAACTCAGTTCCTGGGGCTGACTGATAGGCATCTGACTTTCTTGTGGGCACACAGAGCTATAGGCAGATTCAGAACATCAGCTATTTGTTATGATAAAGCTAAACTGATTTGTTTAAGCCAATTTGATTTGTTAGTTAATTACCAACTTCTGTGTTTTTTTGTTTTTTTGTTTTTTTTTTTCTTGGAGTTTTGTTCACACTGAGCTGCAGAAACTGCCTACTTACTCATTTATCTCTTCCAGTCAGCAACATAATGAATAGCAGCCAACATCATTGTAAAGGTATTGCAGATATTTTCAAACTTTATACCAAGCCTTATACTGAGATTTTTCAGCCGAATTCGGAAGTTGATAAGAATTACAATCTTCAGTTTTATAGACTGAAATGCCGTAATACATACCTGGGATTTAAATCCAGGCTAGTGATAACATAGTGATTTTAATAGTGAGAATGCTTGATCATTGAAACAAATTATCTGTTGATTAGAATGGATTCCTTGTGAACTAAAAATGCTCAAATCAAGATTGCAGAGGCTTTTAGAAGTATGTACTTGCTTCAGTCTCAACAAAATATTTATAGGAAAGAGTGGCGGTAGAAATCAGATTATTTTATTGCAGGGTGTTGTGTGGTTTGTTTTTTTTTTTTTTCGTCTTAAAACTGAATTTTATTTCTTAGAATGGAAATGTTTATCTTCTAAATTATTTACCAGTTTACCTTTTAATAATCTTTCTTCATGTCTTTACAAGCATAATAAGAGAATAAATAAACAAAAGTTTTGTACTTTTGTATCCAGAGGGCAGAAAAAATCCCCATTGTTCAATCCCTACTCAACCTCCCCCTTTCTTTCACCTCGTATGAATCGCTGATGAGCATAGATGTATGTTCCTCTCCTCCCTAAACACGTGCTGAGCTCAAATAGTCCATGTCTCAATGTGTCATAGTTACTTCTGGAGATAACTGTTATATGCCTGAGTGCTTGAGAGAAAGGACTGGGTTTATATTGGATTGGATATATATGTATTTTTTTTTTCTGCCTAGAAGGACTGGTAGGAAGGGTAGCAAATCAAACAAAATTAGTATGAACCCTACGGTGGAAAAAACTTCATCCAGCATACTGAACATCTTTGCCATAACAGAAAGATTTTCTTGCCAAAGTCCAAATAAGAGTTCTGGGATTTTTATCATGCTCAGACGGTTTTACCTCTTTGTCATTTATTTGAACCTGTGATTAGTTCAGCAATTCACTTAAGGAAATGTTAATTTCTG